GGCATCTTACTAATATTGTCTTACATGTATCAACGTCTCGAGCTCGGTCTATTAATTATTCAATTAAACGAAGATTTTATATACTACTAACTGCGTCTTATTTAGAAATAACTTTTATTTACGAATTACTCAAAGAAAACATGTTAAAATTGCATGTTGTATCTCATTTTTTCTTATTTCTTTACGTACTCTTTAACGTTTCTCTTTTCTCGTTTGATGTTTTTAAATCAGTTTTTCTCCAAATTGTGCTGTTATCTCGCATATATATTGTTTCTAGAGTGGAATTTTTATTTGTGAACGAGCACTTGACGCGTACATTGCCGCTCGAGGATTGCATTGTCGGCCAGTTTGCGCATATAGCTCCACAGCAGAATCCGCTCTTTTCTGCAACGAGGACCGCATCACGGGCATATGAAACCGGGTCCTTCTGCCATCGCCGCACCATACGCTATTAATATCATGGGGTATATTTAGATTTCAATGGGGAAGAGAACGTGAGACTACCGGTCGCGCTCGTCCGATATGCCGTCTGCAAAGCGCGATGCCGCCCGGTCTAAATTGCAATAAAGAAGTGCTTTTATTCCTCAAGTCTTTCCCTCTTTTCGCATCATCTATTTTAAGAACTAGTTAAATCTACAAGAAAACAGTAAACGTAATTCAATCGCTCGTCATTTTCAAACTAACGAGATTGTCGTTTTCTTTTAACAAGAAAATTTTAGCATATTTTTAAATTATTTAATAAAGCGAAATACATACACAAGTATTTTTATAAATTTTTGTTCAAAGTGCAAACATATCGTTTTTATCTACAAAATTGAAAGTATTTTGAAGATACCTTTAATCGTGCAAGAAAGAATGCGCGTTTGTTGCTTTTCTAAGCTTTGTTGATATTGTTGCATGCGCGTTGTTTCCGATTCTTGAGCAATATCTCGAGGCGAATTTACGCGCGGCCAGGAATTGGACATTATTTCTGGCGCACGAGGCGCCCCGAACGGAATGCACTTTCTGGTTTATATTTATAATTATCACGGCGGCGGTTTCCGCGCAAGACTCGAGCGTATATACTGTATATATATATATATATGCATTCGCGGCGTCTACCGCGACATCCTGTTTCTTGTCTCTCCTGTTTTCGTTTTTCTCGCGTATGTCTTGTGATTCAACACGTGACTGGCAAACGCTCCACGGCTTCACAGATGCATCCTCGGTGCGTCTTGTTGTTTTGAAGCTGCGAAGAAAGTAGCGCTTGGAAAAGCTCCTTAGAATGATAAGCATGCGTCCACGGTTTTCAATAAATCCTTAAAATATTTAAAGATTTTTACGACATCTCATGAATATCCGAAAGAAGCGAAAACAGGCTTCTGTGTGTCGTCAATCGATCCGATTCCCAAGAAAGATTGTCGCGCAAGATATTCTCTCATGACCAAACTTTCCAAAAACAAACTTAATTTTATATTAAAACTATATTCTCGCAATTTTTATTTTAAATATTAGATATATGTGGACTTTTTAAAATTAAACTCACAACCGTGTGAATCTTTTTATGCAATAGAGTATGATAAAATAAATACGCAATATTGCGTACTTTTAATAAATTTAATTAAAAATAAATAAACAAACTGCACACACACATATTTTTCAATTTATCAGTAAAAACAAAAATTAATAAAGCTGCATAACATTCAAGAAATATATATCCTCATTTGAGCTTAAAGTGCGAAGAAATAGTAGGAGAGATGGCGGAGAGAAGTTTTCTGTTTCCGTCCGGAATTATTAATTTTTTCACAGCGCGTTTACACAGTTGTTAGACTGTCATTCAGATTTAATATTATTACTTATTCAGATTTTTCACATTCAGTTCTTATTATCTAAAATCTCGTTTTCTGTGAGCGACTTGTTTGAGGAATATATCTCGCTCTCGAAGAGAGATCAATGACACGGGTTAGGTTATATAGAGAGACGTTCGGTTTAAAGGTCCATTAGATCTCCGGATGCAATATCGTTGCGACAGGTGACACACCGGATCGTAAGAGGCAGACGGCGTATATTAAGGTAGCGCCACCCGGTATAGCGTCACGATGAAATAGAAACACGGATGAAACACGTTTCGTTTCGATCGATCAAAAGGAGGTAATATTATTTCACATGAGCGTTCGGAAATGTAATTCTGTTGCAACGCGCATCGCGTAATATCTAAATAAATAGCGCGTTCTACATTTAAGCGGCGTGTGTAAACAACAAGGAGCTAAATGTACACTGCAACACAGCGCGGTTTGACTCGATATTAGTAACTTTTTCTCTCGAGGCTGGGAACGTTTGCCAGAGCGTTTAATAATAATAAACAGTTTCACATTCGCGTTATAATGTTATCTGTTAATTATACACACCGTAGGCGAATATTAGACTAGTTGAGAAGATTTTGCTACATGCGTCAGAAATGACAAAGTTAACGCGATATGGTAGCTGACGAATACGAGTTTTAGATCGCTTTTCCTCTAACCACATGCTGACCGCGCGAACATTCCTTCTAATGCGCGTGGCACAGAGAGTTTCGCGATAATTACAATAGTTTGACACGTTATAGCGTAAACGGGTAAACTGGTTTCATCGAATTTCGAATACAGCGAGAAAAGGACAGCAGGAGGAAGAGGAGAGAAGAGAGAGTCGCGAGATGGAAAATCCATTTACGATCTAAGCTTCGGCTTAGCGTAAGCCCGAGATCGGCTCATGATTTCGGTACTTCGATAACCTAGTCGTCGTGCCGGCTCGTCGTCGAGAGACGTCCGCAGGCGATCCTCGATCGATTCTCCCGGTATCTCGACAAGGGATTAGGTCAGGGGTCAGAGAAACGGGTTAGAGCACGGCGAATCGGATGCTAGCACGGCCATCCGAGTGATGAGATGATTGGCTCGCTGATGAAACCTGATAGAGCTGCCTGCTGCTTGGCCAGTTCGGCTTGGCAGATTATGCTCTGCCGTGCGAGTGCACGCTGGATCACAGTCGTCCGTGATCTCATCCACTTCCGCCTCGGACACCTATTCTGCGTCCCTTTCGTCGAACGGGAACAATCTATCGCGCTATCTACGCAGTTTCTGATCTTGAGAAAATCGAGGGCCGGAAATACCGTAACTTTGGCTCGTCCAATTTTCATTACTATAAATGCGACGTACTTGCGCTGTATCTGTTAATTCTCTGCTTGAACGTTGTTATAATTTCCTTTTTCGTGCAGTCCTTTTTCGCATATCGAATTAAAACTAAAAAATTAACTTTGTTTATTTATATTTTTAAGAGAAACAAATTGGACAACGTTATAACACATATTCCGTTGAGAGATCTATATTTTCGGAAATGCACGTCAGCACGTTTGTATGTTTTCTCCGTGATGAATACGACTATTTACATGCGCGGAGGGCTATAAATTAAATAATATATAAGTATCTATAAATTTCCGAGGCGGGACATCGGGACGGTAGCGGAGATCGAAGGTGGAAGAGAAAGCAACAAATTGCATCTAGTTGAAAACTCGTTCGACCATCTCTCTTGACTTTCCACGACGAGCAGCCAGTCTCGAGAAAAATGACACTCTTATCTGAAAAATGGCCGGCCATAAACAATCCCACGAATCGGCGCGCGATAGCGAGCTGGCTGCCACTGCTTCGTACAGCACACGCCTTGGTATCGCTATTTAACCTGTCGACAAAGTAGCGCGTGATAAAACGCGCGAAAAATCCTGACTTTGATAGAAAAGAAAAACGTTGGTGTAAAAAGTTCGTGCACTTTTCCAATGTAGATAAAGTAATATTCAATTGGTAAAATAAAGTGCACGCTCATCACATGTTTACATTGTCATCAATATTATTACAATACTAGTTTTCTCATTTTATTTTTTTTATCAAAATTTTCTTATATACATTTTTTTAAACCGTAATGGCTCAAGAACTTTGTAACTTGTGTTTACATGAGACATCATAAAACGTAGGACGCATGATACAACCGTGTACAAATATTAAACGAGTTTCTTTATCTCAACGAAAACATAAGAAAAACATAATCAAGTGATGATTCATGCATTTATCATCACAGCCGCACAAGATCAATTTATTATGTACGTATCAAAATGATTTTTTGATAAGCGTAAAATATATCGACAAATAGTCAATAGAATTTTTATCACAAGCTAAAGTTGCAACTTCGCAAAGTGCGAATATTGTTCGGACTCATTATCACCTTATAGCGCGCGTGTTCAATTTTTAATGTTAAATTGCTCGGAAATTTCTTATGTGAATTAAATTCTCATACGCGGCACGTACATTTAGCTATAAATTAATTGAAAAGTAAAGGGGGGCTCCTATCATTCATTTGCGCCGCTGACGTTTAATTTACCGAGGTGCTTTAATTTTGTACGTTAAATAGCGCGATAATTAGGTCTTAAATTAAATTCGCGCCGAGGGAAAAATCGAGCACGAATTACTAGAAGGAATGCGAATAATTCTTCACGAGTTTACACTTCGCTTGAGACGCGTCAAATAGTACAAAGAAAGAGAGAGAGAGAGAGAGCGTGAATACAAGCGGGACGCGAAATTAGGAAAATTGATTGTCTCTGGTAGCCGAGAGAAGATGTTTCTTTCGCACGGATCGCTTTTTCCATCATGCTCAACGATCGTCTTTGTTGCTCTCCGTTACTCGGCTGAAGAGAGTTTTCTTTGGGTTTTACCGTCCGTGGAAGCGGAGAACGCGGCCGTTTAGACGTCAACAGCTGCGTCGCAGCCCGCCCCCGGCTCCATTTGTTCCTCTTACATTCTTCATGGAATAGTTTGGTCTCGCCGTTGAATATACACTGACTGCGCGAACTGAGAGAGATTAAGAATATCTTTCGGCTCTTCTACGTCGTAGGTGAATGCAAGGCGAATCGCATAGTGGGCTCGCGACTGCATTTCGAAGATCTCGGAGAACGCGTCCCTCGAGAGGAGCACCACTGCGCGTTGTTTTTGAGAAAAAAGAAGAACGAATAACCGCGTGACGAACCCTGAACCCGAAAGCGTTCCCGAGTAGCGAGTGAGAGGCCACGTCTAGTGAAAACTACTTGAATCGTAAAATTTCTTCGAGATAAGACGACGAGAGCGCAGCGTGGGGCACTTTGAACATGAGAGATTTAGATAGGAGAAATCGATGTGCGCTCGGTGAACTTACGAATAAGTACTTTGTGAATTGGGATACGGTTTCCTCTTGGACACCGGCGCGCGCGCGTTATCTCAAACGAGAGATACTTGTTCGAGCGAATCCGAAAGGTGGTCTGAGATTGTTGGACCCCCATGTGGTGTGTTTTATCGCCCATTCAAACGGATTGATTGCTGGAAACAAACCGAGGATATTCCGTGTTTCTGCGCGAGCTTCAATGTTGTTCGAATCAAGTCAATAACGGATTGGTGCAGGAAGTGTAATTGTGGAAGGTAGACACGTTATTTATTGTTTGCAACTTTATCCTTTAAAAGTGTTATAAAATGTCACAAATTAATTAATTTAACAAGTTACAAATAATAAAAAACAACTTTTGTATTTCTTCGTTCAAATTTTTTGTGTATAATTACATATTGACTCGTATTGCCCTACTAATACTTAGTGGAACATTTCACGAGCTTTATAATTTGGTGTAATAAAAAATAATTTTTGTATTTCTTTGTTTATATCTTTTGTATAAATAGTTAATTACAAATATTAAAAAACAATGTTATATTCTCTTTTCGATTGAATTTTTTTAAATACTTTAAATATGAATTTACAGTCATCTCTCTTGAAAATAATTATAAATAAATTGTTAAATTCTCTTTGTCGTGATATTTTTCAACGACTTACTAAATCACTCACAGTAAGTAAGTCCATTGAATTACCACTATATATCATTTGCAAGCGTAAGATGCATCCATTTTGGCACACGCTGCAGCAGTTTTGCGTAAAGCCTGACTTTGGTCGATTATTTATAACGAAAACGAAATCGTTCAGATAACACAACTGGTTGTGTGTATACGATTGTTTCAACAAGGATTTATTCACGCACAGCTTGAAAGAAGAGACACCTCGTTTGCAACACGTGCACCTAAGCTCGATCGAGCTTTATGTACGCACTAATTTCCGACATATTTTCTCTTCACTTTTGTGGCACACACACCCTTTCGCAGTTAAGAGTGACTCGCCTTGTTCTCTTATGCAACCGCTCAACACACGCATATATGTAACGAACACTTTCTTCACACGGTCGGCAAAAGGAAGAAGAGAAACATTAGTCTTTGCTCTCAACAATGCATAAAACATATATCACAGACAATAAGCGCCGCTACGCTTTGGTTGCGTTTGCAGCTACGGAATCCTGATCGGGTTTCGTAGGCAACGGTCGATTGGCCATCTTGCTGGTGGTCGCGGACGTTTGTTGGACCTCTGGCAGTTCCAAATACAGATGAGCGGCCGCGTCGGACGGCTCGGCGTATTCACACAGTAATGAGTTTGGCCTCTTGTTGCTTATTTTGCTACCCAGGATGGTCTCGCCCAGAGCCTTAAAGAAGTTTACTGGCCTACCAGGCTGATTTCTGTCAGTTGAATCCGACTTCGAGCTCTGCGGAGATTTGAAATCGTCGTAACAGTAATTTTTTGAAACTCGATCGCTGCCGTTGACGAGGTGATCGTTCACCACATCTGGTGGCAGTGGCTGCGGTGCTCTTCCGATTAAACTTTCCAAAATCGGTTGCGACAGCCTGCTGGTACTAGGCATTGTTTCGTCACCCGGTAACTCGGCGTACAGGTGATTCTGATCGTTGGTCCGCTGATCGCGCGGTTCCGCGTACTCCGTGATGAGCGGTCTAGCCTGTATTCCGCTCGGCAGAAGTTTCTCCAAGGATGGCGCTTTCGTGCCGACGGTGATGGATGGCCTGATCGTTCTCCGGGGTCTTCTGATCGGCCGGATCACGTCATACGCGTTCTCTTCTCGATCGCTCGCCGGTTGCCGGTCGTTGTTGTTGTTACAACTCTCCTCGACCTTGATAAGATCATACAGATGTTCGATCATGTCTCTTGCCTGACTATAATTATTAGGATCGTTTAATCGCTCCCGAAGATCCTGCAGATACTCCTCTGTCAGTTCTTCTGGTAACGTCTGCGTGGCTTTGTTCTCCGTGTACGAATAAAGATCGTTCTCGTCGTCATCTTCGGTAGCTTCTGCTTGAGGTTCTACTTCGAGAATTCTAGTCTCTGGTTGGAGACCAGCGTATTCAGAAACGCTCAGCCTTGAGATTGACCTGGCGGACGTCGCGGCAGTTACACCGTTGCTGGATGAAAACCAGTTTGTGAGAGTCATCAATGGATAGGACGTCAATTTAGGACACACGCCACGGCGGCGCATGTAGAGAATTCCCGCAGTCAAAATCACCACTAGAACAATAAAGACCGCCACGACAAAGACGATGACGATGATTCTTTTGGCATGTTCCAACTGCTCCGATTCGTTCATCTCCATGTCGAAGAATCCTTTTTGTTTCGGATAGATGTGAGGACCCACACTGGGTGGACTAACGCTCGGCTCCGGCTTAGGCGACGGCTTCTCGCATTTGACGACATCGTGGCGTTGCGCGCAGATGAGTTTTGTGAAGTTCCCCATGGGCATGTAGCCCTCTGGCAGATTAAAGCACCTGTCTAAGTGCTTGTCAACCATGCAATAACTAGAGTCCATCATCCACGAGACAGAGCTGTTGCGTCCCGTCATTTGGCGTACCCAGTTCTCGAGATTGCAACTGCATTGCTCTTTGAAATAATTGTTGCCGACACGCGCCGAGTTTACGCTCTGTGAGATTGCCGCGAATCTGAGCGATCCCGGCGATGCTTTGTATATATGATTGCCCGTGAAAGAGAATTCGAAGTTGGACGCGTTAGCGGCACCCACCTCTGCCTTGATAGCGTCGTTCTCCAGATTCGCGAATAGATTGTGATCGATCGCAATGTGATTCCACAGGTCCAGCACTATCGAACCATGGCGCAGGTATTCGAACGCGTTGTTGCTAAAGGTGACGGTTGCTGCTGAAATGTTGATGGCACCGGTGCTCACCTCGGACAATCTAGATTAAAAAACGATACAACAGAACAAAAAAATGTGCGCATTTTACACACAATACTTCTTAAAAAATATTAAAATTTCAAAATTATCAAAATCAAAACAGTAGACAGATAAAAATTGAAGAATAGTAAGAAATCAAGTCAAAAAATACATTAATGGAGATGATATTTGGGATTTTATTTTGCTACTTATAAATATTGTTTTCTCTTTACACGCGTTCTCAAAACTTGTATAAAATCGCGTGCAAGTTTGTTGTCAAACCTTGAATATTGAATTGTCAAATTATCGTGGCCGGCTCTGAAAGCTGCCGTGTTGATATTTTTAAGTTCTACATCGACGAACTCAAGGCTGTGAATGAGTGCTCTGTCGCTGAAGGCGCCGGTTTGAATATCCTCGATGGTCGCGTTGCTGATAATCACGTTGAATATGGTCATCGCGCAGAAAGCATCTTTACGTATGACCTTCGTCTTGATGTTGTCCATACGAATCTCCGCGACAGCCGAAGGAAACACCGCCTTAGGTAACTCCGCGATCCTCACGTTTTGGAACATTATCTGTATCGCAAGACATCGTGCAAAAAAATTATAATTAATTTTCCGGAAATCTTCGTCGACGTAGACATGCAATTTAGTGATATCCAAAGCGGAGTGTTATTTCAAATAATTTATCGCTGTATCTATTTATATTAATTGTTACTTGATATCAGAATTTAATGTGTATGATGTAATTGTATCATAATGATAATAATATTATCAATAATAGTATATCGATAGATACATATCAGTTGTAACTTCTGATTTAAATACAGCGAAACACAACAATTATTGCTTAATAACGCATGCGATAACACTATTAATTATCAGGATTAATAACGATATTTAACCTTGGTCGCTGGTCCATGTCGTCCATGGTGAGTCATTTCGAACTTGAACGCGTTGCTGGAGAGCTCCAAGGATGGGACTTCCTTCACCGCGATCCACAACAGCCACGAAAAAGCGTTCGGCTTTATTTCCACGTGTTTGCATCGCGATATCGAAATGCTCACAGTGCCGCGAGTATTCCGGAAGGCGTGGCTTTCCAAAAACACGCTGTCGCATTCCGACACCTCGATGTGCGTGTTAGGCGTACTGATATTTTGAAAGGCCTGTCTTTTCGCGACCACGCTGTGAATCCTCGAGACGTAGACGCGTTTCAACGGCACTCCGCCGTCAAACGCGCCTGCGTGTATTCTCAGTTCTCGGCAGTGAGAGACCTCGAGTTCTGTCGCGTCCGGTGGAATGATTCCCTCCAACAGTTCAACATTCTAGACAGAATACGTAGTAAAAGAATAAATACGATGGTAATGAGAGACCCGTTTGCGGATAAATATTAGCAGGTGCGATTATAAGAAAGACGGTAAAACGTCGCGTCATCGACATCTTGCACCAAGGCCGTGCGCCTCGTCATTGGTTTCTCTATCTAAGTTTACATCTTGATTGCGTAATGTGTGTGGATATTGTTACAAGGGAACTAAGACTGTTTTCTGAGGTTGTAGTACATGTATATAAGTGCGATTTATGATTTCTTTGTGTCTCCATTTAAATACTTACCAACTTTAAATACTTCAAGCTTTTAAATGATTCAATATTTGTTTATGATTAATTGGATTGTTCTAAGCATTTAAATTTACAATTTTATTGTTTTGTTAAAAATAATACTAAGTAATTGACGTAGACAAGTAATGGAATAAAGTTATTTATAGTCTTATTAAAAACGATAGAATTTCCTGTCTCAGAGAGAGTACATTAAAAATATTTCTACTGAATTCAATGTGCCAGTTTCTCATAGCGGCTATTTATAAGTTTATCTCAGCGCCAGGTTGCTTTATATTCTCTACTTTCGATCATATGTGTCACCCGGACTTCTTTAAGCTTCTTCAAAACTCTTATGCCAGAAACGCGGATTATCGCTTTGCGTTATTTGCGATAAGCTTTTCGCAAAAAGAATATTCTTATAACTTTCGCGCGACTGAAAAATATAGTCGCGCACTACTAAAAAATACAAAAGACAGTTCAATATTCAGCGGCCAGCGGTATAATTCAAATTCACGGAATCTCATAGTCGAGAACGAGAAATCTGACTCCCTCGAAAAATCGAATTTCCCCGTGGGAATGTGAATTTTCGACGATTCATAAATAAACATTGACCCGGTTTTTCGTTCTCTTCAGGGAGATGCCCGTTTTCGTACGGTTCATAGGAAATTATTTATTCTCTCGTGTACCTATTCTCAGAGACTGCGAGGCTTTATTTTTCGTGGTGCATCTGACCGCATCCGGTTCCGCTCCCTGTGGGAGGGACCTCATCTTTGACTTGGTCGACAACTAAACTCGTTATCCGAGGATATTTTTGTCAGAGAGATATCACAACAACCATTTACACGCGCCTGTTAACTATGCCCCGGAGACACGAAGCGTTAAAGCGATCTTAACTGCACGATGACTTGATTCATTATAATGCCTTCCGCGTGCGAGGTATGGGAAGAGAAGCACGATAGCGGCTGTGAACTAAAGTGCAAACATTCAGCGATTAAATTACTTCGTACGTGCCACTATGCACACATACGCCTAATTCAATTAATCTTTTTCTGACTACCTGGTTTTTCTTCTTTTTACACAATGTGTGTATGTGTGTATAGAAGCACTAACAGTAAATATGTATATTTCTCCAGAATTAATTTTACACTAAAAATCATTTTAATTATCACGATCTATAAAATTGCAAGAGTACTTAATTAAACAATTTATGATAAAACACAGAAATTGTTTATTTATATTTGTTTTATATTTTGTCTTAAATAAATATTTCTGTGTGTGCGTAAATATTTTTTCTTTAATTCTCTCTCGTTATATTTACAAAACTTATCGAATATTTTAGATAGCAGGAATTATTGCCCTCTTCCCGGGCTTTGGACTTGTTCCAAAGGTTCGGATGTGCGATTGTTGATTTTTCGACGAAAATTATTTTTCCGTGTATTCTGGTTTATTTTCTCGTTTGACTTTAAAGTCCGCGAAAAAACAGACTTACGCTGCATAATACAACGTTCGCAGCCACGCTGGTTCCTTCAAAGGACCGGAAAATCGTTTCAAGAGTTCATTAGAACACGACGATGAGTCATGCTACTGTTCACGCTTGTCGTCTGCGAGTAATGCGTACGGTTCGACTTTCGCATCCCGTCTCTTGGTTACAGACATTCGCACGGTAACACGAATCTCCGGTGTTCTTCTCGTTGTTTTGCCGTTTCATCGCGCTTGCGACTCCATGTCATGCATAATTCGCGGTTCGATTTCAACCGAACGAGTTGTCCTTGGATAATGCCGGGAAAAGAACGAGCCATATTTCCCCGTATCGTTTGACGTCGCTGCGCGACCTGCATTAAATATACATGTTAAAACGGGGAGAAATAAACTACGTATATCGCGATTACGCCTGTATGTCAGACGATCTTATTGGACCACGGTGACTGCAGCTTCATTACGACTCGGATCATCCGGTCAGGTACGATCTTCGATAATACGGAGTTTAGTTTCACGAGCATGACGCACATTTGAAGCGCACAGGACTTAACTGCGTATATGATTAATTCAAATAGAGAGGTGATATTTTATATCATTTTACATGTCATGAAATATATGTATGCACCGCATTTATCTGCAGACTGAAATTTAACTCTTACTATTCAACTGTATGCCGAATGCATTGTATGTAATATTTAACTATAGTATAGAAAAACGATATAGCCTTTACATAAGGTTTATTCAAAATTAATGTTGAACATATTTTGTGAATAGGCCGATATATTTCACACAAGGTGATTTATTATTTCGTTCTAAAACATATCACACACACACACACGATGTTTTCGTGAATTTCTGTTATTTGCTACAGCGTGTCACAGATTTCATGTGCGTTAACTCTGATGAGGTACACGTCAACCCCGTTTGATAATACTATACGGACAAAGTAAACGCGGTAATGCCTAGCCGGAGGACGATAGCAGCGAGAATGCGTACAGTTCGAGCTTCGTCCCTAATTAAAAACATGCGCGACTTCCTTATAATCCAGAGCGAAAATTCTGCGCTCGCGGGAAAGAGTTAATTAGCGAAATAGAGACACACGGGAAAAAGCGCGATGTCGAGCGAAATATGCGCGTTGTGTGTCAACGATACGGCGTTCTATCGGGATCTCCTCTCTCATCGTGCGCTGCACATCAATGACGTCACATCGGATGCGTCGCACGGCGAAACAGCTGTCGCGGTTGACGACACTTTGAAACGTAAAGAAGAGAAATGCGGTCAGGTGCGGTGGAGAGAGAGAAGTGCGCAACGCAAGTCTGAGACAAGTTGGAAAATGCATCGTTTTCTTTCTCTCTCTGACTGTTCATCTCTCTTTTCTCTCTGTCCTCGATGAGTGACTAAGACCGCACTTAAAGTCGTACTCGTTTCGCGTGTGACTCAAGGGCCGAGACGCGTGCGAATAACGCCGGTTATTTCTGCGTCGCCTTCGGGTCTTCGAACACAAAGAGCATCTCTCTCGAGATCACGCGAGTTACGGGCGATGTTAGAGTGCCAGTGCGAATTAATTTTGCGGTATCGCGCGCTGGCTCGCAGCCATCATAGAATTTTCTATGATCGTTGCGCGATCCATAGGCGGCAATTTAATTTCCATACGTTCGTCCGCGTTTGTCTACATTGCGATCGATAAGCCAACACGCGAGCGTTAACATTACGTAAGCTATTAAATGTGGTAAATATTTTGCCGGATCAATTTGTGCCTATTTTACAATGCCGAGATGGTCCGATTGGATTTATCAAGGGTTTATTTATAGTAGGTTTAGAGAGGTGTATCGAAGGTTCTGTGCATACATGTGTGTGTGCGGTCTTTCGGCGTTTGCTTAGACTGATTCTTAGGAAAACAGTTTTGTAGAGGCTATTATATAGACAAAGAGAAATCCTTATTAAAATGTCAGAAATTTTTGAAATATTCCGACAGCTGAGGTTACGTGAGAACGGGGCTGGTCGATTCGTTCTGACCCGTACCGAAATTTCAGGCTACATTATTTCAACATTGCTTCGTGTCGCTTTGCTTTACTCCGCAACGGAGCGTATAGAATCGTTTCCGTTATCGTTTCGGGAGAATTCGATTCCATGTGTTTGGAAAAAGATTCTTCGTGGGAGAAAAACTCAGGAGTTTTTTTTCAAGTTCCGATATTTTCACGACACATTTAGCAGTATAAATTTTACAACACCTGACTTTTATTTTAGTATCATCTTTTTTCGATACAAACATCGTTCGATTTAGACATAAAAAAATCCGACCGCTTTGTTATTAAATGTACAACACAAAAATATAGATTTGTAATAAAACTGTTTTGCGGTTAAACCTCTTCTTTACATTAGTGTACACAATTGGCTGCATTTGAAATATAATAAGTCTCTCGAATGTTGCGATATTTTTCGCTTCGTGATACAACAAAGAACGCATTCGTTAATATTGTTGCAGTCGAGTTGCGTTATTTGATCAGTTATCCAAACACAGCGCACAGCGGAAGTAAGCTTTGTAATATCGACAGAACGTTGCTTTCTGGCGACAAGCCACTGTGGGATTGCAACGCGGGAGAGATGGTATATACCGATGGTGTATACCGTTAGCAAGGGGAATCTCAAGAAAGCCGACTGTCTGGAATATCGATGAATCGCAAGTCGACGTAGCGCACGCGAGGAAACATTATTTTCACTTACACAATGCGGCTGTTGTGGCCAGTCGGAATGCAACGGAACGGAAATAAAGAGAACAGACCACTTTAGCTGGATTGCGCGAATACCGTCGTGAATCGCGGTAGCCGACTTTGCGAATTTGTCCTGCGGCATTGAGAAAACTGATAGTTTTGGCCATGTGCCACGTTCACCAAGAAAACGAAACGGAAGTCTTGTTTATTAAAATGGCCTAATGCATCTCTCGTAAACTGTTGATGCCAACGAATAAAATATTTCTGCTTGGACTTGCCAACATAAACGCGAGAGAAAACAATAACAAAGTAAGTGACACTGAAGATATCGAATGTTTGTGACTCGAGTCAACTTTGATAAAGTTAACTGTTTAATTTTTATCTTATCGTTAGCGTAGTCAGAGGTAAATTTTTATTTATGTTTGAGGAATTTTGTTACGGATTCAAAAAATATAATTTGGTATAATTATCGTTATGCACTATGTTTGGATATTTGAGAAACTATGCTTTGTGTTACTACAAAGCTTCATGTAGATTCC